CCTCCTCAACCCGACACCTCGGTTCCCTGTTAAGGATATCGTTCGGGACCTTTCAGTACCTTTCAGTATCATTCAGCACCTTTCGGTGTTTTCCATTATCACTCGGACTTTGACTAAAGTCCTTCTCTTCCTCCCTCTATATAAATACTTGTAGATTAGAGCCCGTTGTACCTCAGTTCTAATCTCAACTAAAAGTTACCCCAAGTCCCTCTATGAGTGAATCCTGACCTCTTCCTACAAGATACCTCAGACACATGAAATATAAGGACTAACTGAGACGTAACGGAGGCACAGCGCTCCCTCCGAGTTGCTGAGGCTGCGTCCTTCTTGGAGCCTCTTGTACCACCTGACCTGGGCTTCCTGGAGAAGCTTCAGTTCACTACTGGAGCTCTTGGACCCCTCTAGTTGAGCCCTGCCTGCATTCAGACTCACGCACATTAGCCTCGTTCAGGGTTTTTGACAGAAAGTGAGGGAGCAGGAATGAGGAGAGAAGAAGGAAAAGAGGGAGGAGGTGAGGAGGGGTGGACAGTGGGGTACCGGGTCAGGTTGGGCCGGGTGGAGCCGGGTCAGGCGGGTGTGCCCTGACACATACTTGGTACTTTCGCTGCTTGTAATGTATCTTTTGTGTTTCCCCCTCATCCTTATTTGGACTGCTGCTTCTCTCCATTCTAGCCAGTTAGTCATCATCCCCACTTCACCTCATCCTCCTGCCCCTCTGGGCTTTGCCCTCCCTATCTCCTTTTGGATGTACCACAGGTTCTAACCTATGACCTTCAGTGCCACCCCACTTCCATCATCCCTTTGTCCCCGTTCGGACGCCTTCGGACCCCCTTTGTTTCCTTGTGCTTTTGTCTCTCTCCATTATATACAGGCACTTTGTCAGGGCCCGGCCTCGGACTCGGAGGCTCCCTGACCTCAACCCCCATCTGGCCTGTCCTCACACTATGCGGGGTATGAGATGTATAGTAAAAGGAAAGATAATATATACACTTGCCTATGCGGGGTATGAGATGAGAAGAAGGGTAAAGGTCTCATCTCCCCGCATGGTTGCTATATAAAGGGATGGGTCACATGCCCACAACTATACAGCTCCTAGAGTTGTGTAGTGTGACCCGGAGGGAACATCCAGGTGGCAGTGCCCAGTAAGCATGGGAACGTTCTGGGCGAGTTGCTCGCCCAGAACTGTGGCTGTGACCCGTGGGAACATTCTGGGCGAGCTGCTCGCTCAGAAAGTTCCCACGCTATCCCGTGCGCGCGTGTGTACACAACACACAAAGGCAACAACAAGGCAACAGTCAAAGAATAAAAGGGGGTAAAGTAGGTGGGGAGTCCGGGGCACCCTAAGGCAGGGTGCTGAACCCTGACACACTTGTACATACTCGTTTTAGGCCCTTAGTCTAAAATCAACCAGAAATGCCCCCTAGAGACTTCCTGCTCACTGCCTCTGAATTAAGGACCAAATGGACAAACAGCAATGGCACAGCACTCCACATGAGTTGCTGAGGCCAAGGTCCCTCCTTGCTAAGTCTCTGGTTCCTGTCCGGAATTGTCCACCCTTGCCCAGTTCTAACAATCCTTGACAAAAAGGTGTCAGCGGCCTCCACTTCGGATGTATGGGTGGGTTCTGTCCCCATTCTGGGGTGTTGCCCAGTGTCGAGTTCGAAGGGGGTCCGGCAGGTGACGTGTGGACATGGTTGTTGTAAGCAAACTCTGCTAGTGGAAGCCAGTCCACCCAGTCATCCTGATGGTGGTTGATGAATACCCAGAGGTAAGCCTCAATCTCTTGATTGACCCGTTCGGTCTGTCCATCCATTTGGGGGTGGTAGGGTGTCAAGGGGGTGAGTTTGACTCTGAGGAGATCCGCGAGTTCTCTCGAGAAGTGGGAGACAAAGGCACTCCCTCTGTCGCTGGGGATTTCCTCTGGGAGTCCGTGGTGTTTCCAGACATGTTCCAGGAAGAGCTGTGCGATGCCTGCTGAGTCTATTGTCGTCACTGTGGGGATTGCGTGGATGCATTTGGATAAGTGGTCCACTACAACCAGGATGGCGTTGTAGCCCTTCGACTCTGGGAGCTCTCCTACCATGTCCACTGAGATTACCTGCCAGTGGTGGGAACCTTGTTGAAGGTGAGTGTTAGACATGGGTCTGGGGTCACCACTGAGGGTCACCATTGCGGGCCGCTATAGGCCGTGAACAAGGCCCAAGGGTAGGGTGTTCGGCCTCAGTGACTCTAAAGGAGCACTGTGCCCCCTAGCTGTCTCTTGGCCCTTATTTCAGACTCACTGGGGTTGCCTTGCTGGGGTCAGGAACTTGGGGAGTCGTGGTCAAATCGATATTAGAGCTAAAGTACTATAATGTATCATACAGGATATATATAGGAAGACGAAATGAATAGAAGCGGACCCGGGCCGAAGGCCGAAGGGTCCGGAAGCAAATGGGAACAAAGAGCGGGGTTGGCTGCACAGTGACCAGCAATGTTACGGATATAGAGTCTCCAACGACCATATCCATCGCATTGTCAAAGACCTCCCCTTTCCATCACCCTCTCTCTCTCTCTTGCTCTCTTTCCCAATTCCCTACTATCCTTACCCGTTCTATTCCATTCCCCCCCTCATGCAAAGCTTTCCCCATCGGGGTTTTGGTGCTGGCCGAGGTTGTTTGTATTTTGTGGGATTTCCTGTGACCATTCCATTTGTAGAGAGTCACACGTCATGTAGGGAAACCACCAGAGGCGGTTCCCACTAACTACAACTTGCTACAAACTACCTTGTGCATTGTCTCTTGTAACAATCCCTTCTGTGACTCAGCAGAACATGTGTGTGTGTGTACAACCTTCAATATGTCCTATATGCCTGGTTACATCAAGTCATCTGGTGGTTCCCACCACGAGGACTCGAAGTCGCAAGTTGAAGCCTTGCGATTTGTATATCATTCACTGGAACCTGTGTCCTACAGGACGTCATCTCCTAGCTCTCCCTCCAGCGTTTGACAGAGGATGTCACATCATGGTATTCAGGATCACAACTGCTCTGAGACTCATATTCCCATGATGCCAGCACACTCGTTGCACAAGCGCCAAGTAGCCACCCATCAACCATCTGGTCCCTCCCTTGTCAGTCATCGTACCTCACCGCCAACGGTATGTTTCCTTTGGGAATGCCAAGTCACTGAAGGCCCCACTAGCCATTCCTTACTGGGCTCTCATGATTATAACCCACTACCGGCACGTTTGTACTACAAACACCAAGTAACCAATAGCAACGATATGGGATCTTCACACAACATACAAGTCATGACCGTGCGCACAGTACGCTCCCCTGAGGAGCGCCAAGTACCTGTGGCCAACCTATCTATCCTGGTGTCCCCGACTACATGTAATCAAACCCTTAATAACTCATTCCCTTGTGAACCACAATTGATGGGGATTTGATTGTCTACTCTCATACATGACTGGGACCTCCCATCAATTACACATCCCATTAAGGTACATAAGATAGACGACATTCATAAGTCATCACTATGATGGCAATTGCCGGATGTGGCAGTACAGGTCACGAGCGGCCAATGTTTCTAGGCCCAGAAATTCATGTGTATAATTGGAGTTATTGCATTGTCTGATTGTCTTATATATACTATTTATATATTCTTTTCAATATTTCTAGCTGCAAATTCCCGAATAACCTCCTGCACTGCCTCAGGTGGGAGTCCGCAATGCCCTTTATATTTTTTGACTGCCCATTGGGCCTCACACCCATTCAGGCCATAGCAATAGCTCTCCATGTACCGTAATGAATGATTTGCAAACCTGTGGATTTGTGTTATCATAAACATTTAATTGAAGAAGGAATCCTTACTTTCGCATTGAAGTTATCATCACAGATTCCAATGCTTTCTGCAGATTAATTTCCACATCTTCAACCTTCGATGATGGTGGAGATTCACGATAGGTCCTCTTTGAATAGCCCCATACTTGTTCAATAAAGTTCAGTTCGCAGTGGAATTTCGGGAGGAATAGAATGCCAAACCCAGCAGCTTCACAGTGTGTCTGAAGCAGGGATTTGACATTCATGAAGTCGTTAGAGTGGAAAAGGATATTGCGGCAGCAGCATTGTGCTGCTGTACCACAACATTTGAACTTGTCACACTGAGCACGAAGCCCAGCAACCTCATAGCCCCGCTCTTCTAAGATCTTTGCCATCCCTTTGAAATATCCAGGATATTTGGGGTGATCATCAGGGTAATAAATATGTTGAATTTGATGATTCCAAGTTGTGTCTGCCATGTGTTTAATCGTGGTTTGAGGTTTCCCATTGGGCCTGTATATGATTGCACCACTTGAATCACGTGCATTCACGGTTATTCCCCATTCCTTGGGACCCTTTGGCATTTTGAGTGCTGACAAAGCACCACCAGCACGTTTGGAATGTGTGCGTGCATTGTCAAAGACCAAGACATGATTGTCATGGGGATAGTGCTCCTTCAAGATCTCCATTGCTGTTGTCACCTGTTTGATCACATCATCGTTTGTGAAATATCCATCCCGGTTTCTGCCTGGCCTGAGTGTGACCCGAGCTGTCCGATCACCACCTTTCAGCCACCCATAATCAGCTGAGACGAAATCAGCCACCATAACAGAAGCACCTTCACCCTTAGCATAGGGTTTTGCTGTTTCGGAGTTATGAACCCAACGGACCTTCCGATGATCATGAGCATAGAAGATGGATTCATCATGAAACCAGACAACAGTGCATGGACCCTCAGTTGAATCAATCATCTCTTCCCCCTTTTCATCCCATTTCCTCATTGTCATCCCATATTCAGCCATTGCGGGAAGAAACACATGCTGCCAATATCGGATGACATCTTCTTGCTCATGACCATCTGAATATTGTCCCTTCTTTTCCCTCTGCCAGTGGTACCCCATCACTTTTAACCATTGTTGTGCCGTTTGGACAGATATTGGTTTCTTTCGGCTCAAGCGCTCACACATCTCTGGAGTATTTAGAAATTGAACAATGTCCAATGCCGAGATGTATGGACCAAGGCTACGGAGGTGAGCCTCGATTTCGTGTCATCCATCACAAGTATTGATTCCTTCCATTTTCCATAGGGGTTCATTGGAATGTCATCGGAATCAACCATGAAAGCGTGACACCACTCATGCAACCTTTTTGCATATGAGGGCCCACGGTCCCAAGAGGTTGCCACAAACTCTGAAGCACAAATCCAGCCTATGTCCAGCACCAAACCCGCACGGTCAGAACTATACACTCGCAGCAATTGGAGGATTTGTTCAAGTCTCATGCATGTTAAGTCATCAAAATTTGATTTTTTATGACCAGGGCCATTCTGGTGGGGTTGAACAATTTCACTGAGCCTTTCAGCAGATTCTTTTGCAGCCTCTCTGGATGGAGCGGCAACGAATGAGTGGGAGTGATACTGAGTTGGCAAAGGATCTTTGGGGTAAGTCTCTGATGTGATGGGTGTTTCGGATGGGTTGATGGGAGTGTCTGGATAGGGAGTACTGGTGCGCGTTGATTCTGAGGCATCATCTGTTCCAGGATTGATGTTATCTGGAGTTGGGTGATTGGAACCATTGAGATGTTGGCTGGTTATTTCACGCATACTCAGCAGAGAGTCATCAGAGTCGGCATCCGAGTCGCTGACAACAATCGGGTCTGGGGTACTGGAGTTGGATTTGTGGGGAGGGTGAAAGAAATCATGTATGGTGCGTTTTTTTTGGTCAGCTTTGGTTTTCTTAGCCATCTCTTGCACTTTCTGCATAACAACGCGTTGTTTGGCAGCATGACGGTGTCGGGTCCGCTCTGAAGGAGTCCTGTTGATTGTTGTTCCGGCATACTGAACCTTATTCCCCACAATCGTACCCCGCTCATGTATTAGATGGGATAGGACCTTTTGAGCCTGACACATGCACTCAAACAGCGGGATTTTTGATAGCCATTCAGAGGTGTTGTCGGAGTTTTCATCCAAATCATCGGCATCAAACTCACTCTGATCACTGTCACTTTCCAGCTCAATGTCGAAATCACAAACATCGGAGTCACTGCAACCCAAGGTGTTGTTTTTGGTGGGAATGGACAAGTGTATCACAGCAGGAGTGCACCGATGCGCGGGTTCAGGTGCATTACTGGCCAGTTTTCTCTGAAAAAAAATCAGAAATAATGGATTTTTCTGACTAGATAGCACATCACCTTCTTGGAGTACTCTCCAAGGTTATTTGCATGACAGCGCTTTCTCTGTACCGGCATGAACACGATGTATGGAGGGAAAAGGGAATGAACAAAGTGGTTTCCTTTTTTGGATTCGGCAGTTTCCTCAATTTAATTATACTCAGCCCATTGCGGCCAACCTGAAGTCTGTTCATTTTTTTTAATTGCAGAATTCATGTTGGGGTGGAAAGATATTCTTGATTCTGATGCTCAGAAGTATTTTGCTCCTCATTTGACAATAACAATAAATATTTAAATTTGCACACCGAGAAGTCATAAAGTGGTATCATTTCTACAACTTCTCAGTTCTACATTTGCCTCAAAAGTGCAGTATCAGGGATGAGGTGGGGTGCGAGTTGTGCCATGATTTGCTTCCGGATAGTGACAACTTATGAACATCATCTATCTTACAAGATCTTGTGATCATCTTCCAGCTACAAGAATAGTTCAAGAAGGGAGAAGTTCTCCCCATCCTCGTAATATTGGTGCCCCAACCCCAGTGCGAGAGACTCGCACCATGCCACCAAAGACAGTGTCCCTATTGGGAGACGAACCAGTTACCCTGGTCCAAGCAACACATGAATTGTATCCCCCTTCCTGACCCACGAGGATCAGCCAGTCGGATCGTAAATCTAACTCAAGAGACACTTCACCAGTAGGCAAAGATGTGCATTCTTCACCTGGTGCATTCCTGAGACAACAAGCTCTCAGGCAAGTCATTGATGCTCTTGGAGAATTCGAAGGTGGAATTTTTGAGGACTTGAATAATTACATGAAACGTATACGAAATTGGTGTTGTCTTGCCCCAGCTGATCTCGAGAAAGAGCCTGTTGGAGCTGGTCTTGAAGGAGAGCCTTTGAGATACCGACTTGGGACTGTCTGGCAGGTCAAGCTAACTGACCTACTCATGAAAATTACCGAGTTCACCCAGCTTGCCACCAAGGCCAACTTAGCCACAGGTGATTTTGTAGTGGATCCCCAAGGCGACCTCGCCCTTATATTCACCGTAAGAGGATGGTCGTCGCCCAAGGAGTTCAGCATTGCTTGGAACTTCCTGGACCAGTGTTTCAACTCCTTCGAGAAACATTTCGACACCATCAAGAAAGTTGCTCATCCATCACAGGAGTTTGACAAGTCATGCATGAGTGGTCTTAGGTTGGTGAATGCCATGCCTGCCAAGTTTACGGATCCTGGGCAAGTTGAGGAGGCATGGTCAACCGAAATGCGACCCACTTGTCAACCTGAAGTTCCCCCATCAGGATGGACCACATATGAGGATCTCTTATCTCCCTCTGAAGAGACCACTTTCGTTCGTAAATGCACTCAACCGTCTAGGGCCTTCCCGGCACCTAGACCCAGTATCAATGTCGCTGCAGGGACACTACCCAGAGACAAACCGTCTATGCTGTTTGTTACACTTCGTCGAGAGACCAACGCTTTCAAGAACCCCAAGGAGAACTTGGGTTACACGGAATTTGTGAGAGGCCTGAAGGTTGGAAGGAAGACAGAGTTGGGACCTGTCGAGGAGAGACTCAATCCTGACAATTGTGGACCTGCTCCCCTTCGTGTTCCTCACTATCCAGTGAACGAAGGACCCCTTGGATCCAGAGATCCAGATCACAGACCAAGACAACTGCCTCTCGACCCCTGGAAGCCGCCTCCGTGAGGTGCGGGTCCACCACCTCCACCAGGACCACCAGGACCACCCCCTCTGCCTGGTGGGGCTCATACCCTGGGTATATTCTACCCATCAGATATGCTGGGGCACCGCCCCCTCCTCCACCTCCTGGACCTGGAGCACTAGCAGCTCCCCCACAGAATCCTGGATACAGGCCTCCCCCTCTTGACCACACGCAACCTTACGTGGATCGTAAATATGCTATGTCAGACTTCCCTGAGTTCGATGGCTTGATTGACAGCTATATAATGTGGTGCAGCATATGTCAGAACCTAGCCAGGCTTTCGCCCAACAAATGACCCGCATACTCCCTGATCGTTTCAAGGGTGCTCTGGCAGACTGGTGGTCGACTGTACCAGTCGCCGACAAACTATATTTCACCACCAACTGGGAAGATCTACACGGATATGTACTACATTTCTTCTCAACACCCACCTTCCTCGACAAGGTTCGAGATCGATTCCACACCTGCAGGTACTGTAAGGGTGAAAGGTATTATAAGGAGTCCCCACATGACTTCACGACACACAAGCTGCGACTCTTATGTATCTTGTATCCACTCGCCAATGTTCCCAGACCTGAGGTCTTGAGGGGCGAAGCCCAAAGACTCTTAGAGGACATCCCAAAAGGATGGTGGGCCCACCTCAACATTGATCAGGTCGACACAGCCGAAGAACTCTTATGGCTGACTAAACTTAAGCATGACGAGTTAGTAGCTAGCGACGAGTTCAGTATCGACGCTTTAGCTAACCGAGTCACCCAGATTAATTTGGAGAGGAATAAATGTGGAGGAGTCCGTGTTGAGACCAGAAGCGCTGCCATTGCATCTGGGAGCCACACCTATCCTACAAGCGACTTCAAGTTGCGGAAGAAACTGCCCAGACCATGTCGACACTGTGGAAGTACGTACCACTGGGACAACAACTGTCCCCCCAGAAAGGCTGATCAGGCCAGGAACGACCGTAAGGAGCGTGACAGCCTGTCCAAACTGGAAGGTACCTACCAACAGGCTTATACTGCCTTAGTGGAGGGTCAGGAAGCAGAATTTGCAGTGGCCTACACAGAGTTCTGTACCGAGTCCGAGTCCGAATCGTCGGATGTACCTGACATAGATATGCCAAAGATTCTTCCTGTTAGAACCGGGCGGAAACGGACGACTCCGGAGTGGAATCGGAGACTTAGCGTGGAGGGACCTTGGCCTCAGCGACTCAAGCGGAGCGCTGTGCCATTGCTGTTTGTCCATTTGGTCCTTAATTTCACAGTAGGTGAGCAGGAAGTCTCTAGGGGGCATTTCAGGTCGATTTCGGACTGAACCAAAACGAGTATGTACAAGCGCCGATATATATAATGGAGGGGGCAAAAGCACAAGGAAAACAAAGGGTACCGAATCGGAATGAAGACATCCGAACGGGAACAAAGGGTAGAAGAAGCGGAGCGGTACCGAAGGTCATAAGGTAGGACCTGTGATACGTCCGAAAGGAGGTAGGGAGGGCAAGGCCCAGAGGGGCAGGAGGATGAGGAGAAGTGGGGATGATGACTAACTGGCTAGAATGGGAAGAAGCAGTAGTCCAAATAGGGATGGGGGGTAAAGGCGAGAGATACATTACAAGCGGCGAAAGTGCCGAAGGCGATCCGCGAAGCTCGGGGGTTGCGGAGCTTATGGAGGTTACGGAGGCGGGGTTGAAAATCCGAGGGATATTGGCAATGGTGTTTACGTAGTATGAGGTCACCAATGCAATGGACTAAGACCGAGGTGGAGTCAAAGTCCGAGGTAGGGACTATGACGGAGGCTCGGAGCAAAGGTATGAGAGGTGTCCGAGTACGAAGTACGGGACAGCGGTGGAAGGTCGTAACTTGGCGGGAGGGTGGCAGAGGAGTACCAGAGGGAGGAGAGAGGGGAAAGGTAAGGGAGAGGGAGTGGCGGAAAGGAGAGTTGTCAGGTCCGAAGGCGAGTATCGGAGCGGACGGGGGAAGCATAGAAGGGTGACGGGAGGGTGGAGGTGTTGTGAAGGAGGAGCGGAGTAGGAGGAGGAGGAGTAGTAGGAGGGTGGCGAGAGGGGCGGCGTTCGATCCGAGGGGAATATCGGAGCAGACGGAGATAGGGGAGGAGAGGGAAGGAGGAGCAGAGGTGGCGTGGGGGGTGAGAGGAGGTGTGTTGCCAGGACCGGAGGTGAGTATCGGAACGGCAGCGGTAGGGTATGACTCCGGAGGTGAAGAGGGTGGAGGTCCGGAAGTCAGGTAGGGGTCGGGTATGCACGGATATGACACTTCCTTTTCTTACATTGCGGCCTGCATGTGGAGTGAGATCCCACCTGATGAGAGACTCATTGGGGCCGCCGTTATAAGCGGGCTCGGGATCTAACCCACTAGGAAAACAGGAAAGGACAGGGACCGGATTGGTATCCAACAGGTCAGGGAAAAGGGGTAATGGTGATATGGTATGGTCCGGTGTGGTACGGTGCGTGGTGTACTCCAGTCAATCTCTCACCCCACCTCTCTGGGTGACACTAAGGCGAGGACTGATATAGAGGTCTTCTTACTGATGTTCTTTGTCGTAATACTCCCTACTAGCTTGGGAGGGGCAAACTCGGTGGTTTCTAATCCAAGGGGAAAAGTAGATACATCCTCATGTACAGGTATATATGAGAAATGATCAAATAAAAATGATAAAAAATATCCGATGTGCCCCATGTGCTTAGGTGGATCATACGGGCAACAAACAATATCGGAAAAAAGAAGGGAAAACAATAATCAAGAAAACAATAAAGCAATAAATGATTTCCAGCCAAAAAATACCCAACTCTATCCATCACCAATGAACTCCCGCTAATCATGGATCCTAATACTCCTAAATGACGCGTTTCCAACGGTACCAATATCGTCCAAATCGGTACAGTGGTTGCTGAGATAAGTGAAATCCAGTCTGAGTGTGGCCGCGCTGCTGGGTGGGCGTGGGAATTTGGTCTGTGGGGACTGGGAATGTGTCTGGAAAAATAGAAAAAAAATCATGGAAGAGTAGGAATGGTATATGAGGACGTGTGTGATGTGTTTCGTGAAGTGGGGATGTGCAGGGATGGGGAAATCGCGATATTCGGTTTGTTTATGCAGTACCGGCTGTGCCCGCCTACACCGTCAACCCAGGCAAGATATATGAAGCCTGTAAGATATTCAAGTGACCCCCAGGTCAGCAATCCTTAGGATCTGACGCTTGTCGAGTATGTTGCCATATCAACGCAATAGACAGGGTCGAAATAGAAGCGTTGGCCAACTCCGGGGCAGCCTGCATGTTAATATTGGCCGATTTATATGACCATATTAAAGGAGAGGGCACCCATATAAGGCAAGGATTGAAGCTGAATCT